ATGACTGTGCCAACAAAAGAGCAAAAATACCATTCTGGTCTATTCACTGTGTCTGTACATTTGAGACATGTTCACATCTCTGTTAACTGTAGAAGAAACTAAATATCTATGTAGTATGTTCTATAAAACATGGCACATGGCACATTGCTATATAATAAATCCGAGAAGCTATAGCTTAATAGCTTAATTGATAAGCTAACTGAGTAAAATTAAATGCTGGCTAATATTACAATTTATATTGCTGGTAATCTTGGCACCTGAAGGCTGGAGGGAGAGGCAGGAAAGACTGTGGTTTAGAGATCAGGTTTGATTTCAGCATTCAGATACAAAGGTGATCATGGAAGGCTTTATATAGGTGTTTATGTAGGTGAAACTATAAAGCTGAGCCAGACCTGTTGTACCACAGGCATTGTTGTAACTGGTCTGTTACAATCAAATTTCTAGCGCATAGGGTCCAATGGAACTTCAACATCTCAACATTCATTATATTCTGTGGCATATGGAAGCTTAATTTTAATTCATGAGTGTTGTCACAGAAGATCAAACATCAAAGCATGTTACAGTTTTAGATTTAAGCATATGGATAATATAAAGGAATTAGTTTGTTAAAGTTTAGGTATTTGCAGTACTGTAGTTCTGCATGTATGCTAAGGTCCTCCTGACCAAACTCTCCAGAAACTCTTGTTCCCATTTGCTATGAAGGTATGAAGGACATGAAAGCTAACAGTAAACCAGATGCTTATCAGGTTAGGAAATAATATTCTTTTTGAAACCTGCCTCTTTTTCAGAGTTTAGTGTGTGACTGTTTTGGAATCACTGTTAGACAAGGCACCATCTCTCCATCTATTTGCCGACATGTCCCTTTATTTTGCCTAGAAAATTTATTTAGGTGAAATCTGAAGATGCTAGAAATTTGCAGAATGTAGATATTTGCTGGCTTGAGTTACTTTCTAAGCATGGGTAGATCTACAACTACACAAGGTGTACAGTTGATCACATCCATCAGGGAAGTGCTGAACCAGTTGCATGTGTATTGCCCAGATGGTCAGTGTGTGCATAGCTAATCCAGTGTAGTTCTCGATGCTTCAGACTTCATATGCATGGGCAGATCAACTGTGCATTGTGCAATTACACAGATCCAGCTGAATAACTTCAGACTTATTCTGCACGTGGTTTGCAGATTGTCCCTGCACACAGGGTGTACTGAGTGTGCTCTGGAATTGTCTGACTTAGAACAACGTATACTACAAAGTATATATGAGTGTATTTTGCTTGGGAAATTTTGAGAGGAAACAGAATTATTCTGTTCTCAAATGTTCTGAGCACCTTATTTTCAAAAATTTGAAATGTTTTGCCTACTGATACACTACTCATAAGAAAGTCACTCAAACACAATTGGAGATGAAGAAGGAAAAAAATCTCAATCACTCCAGAAGGAGACTAGGAAAGAAGTTAGTAAGGAATCTGTATTTTGTGCATTGTTATATTCTTTCCTGTGTTGAATTACCAGTGCTATGCTAAATGAAAAAAAAAAAAGTTCATTTGGATCATGTAAGCAATCTGTAGTTATTAAATTAATATTTAATAAATCACTTGATAGAAATCAGAAGGATATCAGTTGATTAAGTGGCCTGGTATCAATTGTTATCCATCCCCTACACAGATAAGTGAGAATAAATTCATCAGCTATAATAAAGGAAATAAAAACCTTTCAGTTAACCACTGTTATATGGCTGATGAAAGTGATTTGGGATTAAGGGTGTATTGAATTCTGTATGTATTTAATATTGACTTTTAAATTTGTAAAAGACTTCTATTTGCAATTCTGAAGACTTGTAATCATGGAAATGCATGAAGAAAAATAAAATGTATCTGGAATATCGTTCTCTAATCTGTTAAGTAGGGGATAAAAAGTATTTAATCTTCATAGTCTCCTGAAACATTTTATTAAGTACAGCCTAATCTGATGCATCTAAAGGCATATATCTGGCTAATTCTGTGTACATTTTATAGGCCTGAGAACATTCTTGGATTAAGTATAGAAAAATATTGTAAAGTTGCTTTCTACAGAAAAAATACAAGTATTATTAGAAAAGCCCACAACATTTGCTGGTTTTAACCTCAGTATGTAAACACAGTAGCTGAATCAAATGTTTTTGCAAAGTAACTAATGACTATGAAGTAGCTTGTTTCTGTGCACCTGCAGGCAAATCCTGCAGGCTTACCTTCTTGTTCTGCATGCCGGTTCAGGACACTCAGCTGAACTAAAAGGTGTTCCTGACAGAGCACCATGGGGTTTCAGACTGCTCATGGGCTGTCCGTTTTCTTCCTCTACAAAACATGAGATTGCCCTTGCTACTGTCCAGCACCTCCCTCCTACTGCGCCACAACTCATTTGGCTCGCTGTGGCCTTGCTGGCCACCATGGCAGGGAACACCGAGTGCCATGTACAGTGGGGTTTTTGGACAACAAAGAGAATTTTCAAAGGAAAAACGGCAAAGGGGAAAACCAACCTCCTGGGTCTCACAGGGAGGAGAGAGAAAGGCAGACATGGCTGCGTAGCCTTGTTTGCTGGTGCTCATGGCGATTATACCTATGCTGAGAAAGGGAAA